CTTGTAGCTACCCATGCCTCAGGTCTACATGCTAGTTCCCAAGGGCTCCTGTTTCTGCAGCACGTCGATGGTCTCGTTGAAAGAGTCCTGGATCCCTAAACCCTAAACCCTAAACCCTAAACCCTAAACCCTGAACCCCAAATCGAGGCCACGATGGGCTTGAAATCATGTCCCAAGCCTTCCACTTCAGTAGTAGGCCCTTGGCACTGCATAATTTATTTGGGGTCTTAGGGGCTTAGGGCTTAGGGACCTCCCAATGCGGTAGGATTCATGTGAGCTGTGAAAGATGCCACCAATGACATCCCAATCTTCGTAAGATGTAGGGCGTGTTGCTGATTTGTGCTTGGACTGTAGGCGCATTTGGCCACAAATGACGGTCAAGCAAGACTGGCACAAGGTGTAAAGAGCACCCCCTTGAACGAACCTTCTTGATAGACTAGGACTTCAACTGCTTCAAATCCGACTAACTAGAACTGAAATGAGCATGCATGTCGCCGAATGCTAACCAAACTTTAAACTCGCATATAGATGAATGTGACTAGAATCAATTGAAAACTTTTCCGCGACAGACCATGCATTTCCTTGTCATGCTTCTTTTGGCAGTCGTTCTTTCTGCTGTTCTTTCGCTTTAATGGTCTGTTCTGTCCGTGGTGGTACAAAAGTAGGGAATACACGACTTCTCAATAATGCAGCCCTTGGGCCGAAACCAATAGTTAAACAACAAACCACGAAGCCAATGGGCCAAATAGCCACGAGCCAAGAACGCCTTGGCGAAACAAACAAGCCAAGGAACCTAAGATGCCCAGAGTAAACTTGCACCCCTAAACCCGAAAAAGGGCAACTGCTCACAAATACCTGAGGCACACTTCCCATTTTTTGGAGGGCGTATAGAGAGCTTACTCGATATAAATAGGCCTAAAGCCGGGGAAGCTTAAGGCCGGGACGCGCGAAAACCAATGCACATTTTTTGTTTCTCTGCCGAGAAGAAGTACTGAAACTCACCATGTACCGAGTACCCAGTACCCACATGCAAAGAGTACCCGCATGAGAACAAAAATGGGCACCCTTGAGTCAACGGGCCTGCATCTCACGATACTGTCTGCTCATTTCCTCAGTTGAGCGCATGTCCATATTCACTGTCCTGCATTCAAAAGCCATAGTCTTCAAAAAACACTGATCTTGATTGCGAGTGGCCGCCGTATGTTCTCTGCATCGAACGGCTTCGTCATCGAAGGCCTGCCACCGAGTCTTGCAGAGGCCGACAGGGACGAGGATTCAGGCAGGATGCAGTAAGTGAGCCGCGAAACTGGGCATCATTCTATACTACTCTAATCATTCTGCCCCTGTTAATGCCATTCTGGAGGACTTAACCCTAGACTCGTAACCCCTAAACCCTAAACCCTAACCCCTAACCCCTACCCCCAACCTTTAAGGGTTCATGTAGTCCTCCGCCTTAGTCTTTGGAGAGGCCCCTGCTGCAGTACCTTTGGAGGTTGGAACTGCAAACACTAGCAGAGTCCCAGACCTGAGAGTCAAGGGGTTAGGGTTTAGGGCTGAGGGTATACTCGGTGCTGTTTAGGGTTTAGGGTTTAGGGTTTAGGGTTAGGGTAGGGTTAGGGTTTAGGGTTTAGGGTTTAGGGTTTAGGGTTTAGGGTTTAGGGTTTAGGGTTTAGGGTTTAGGGTTTAGGGTTTAGGGTTTAGGGTTTAGGGTTTAGGGTTTAGGGTTTAGGGTTTAGGGTTTAGGGTTTAGGGTTTAGGGTTTAGGGTTTAGGGTTTAGGGTTTAGGGTTTAGGGTTTAGGGTTTAGGGTTTAGGGTATACTCGGTGCTTGTTTAGGGTTTAGGGCTGAGCTCTAGAGAAACGCCAACTACCCCTGCCCAGGGCAACATGGACCTTGTCAAGCTCTGCGATGCGCTTCCTGCCACATGGACAGTTTAGGGTTTAGGGTTTAGGGTTTAGGGTGGTTTAGGGTTTAGGGTTTAGCGTTTAGGGTTTAGGGTTTAGGGTTTAGGGTTAGGGTTTAGGGTTTAGGGTTTAGGGTTTAGCGTTTAGGGTTTAGGGTTTAGGGCTTCTGGCTTTCTGGCTTTCTGGCTTTCTGGCTTTCTGGCTTTAGGAACGTCACACTGAACCCTCGACCCTCAACCCGACCCTGCTGTGAAACATGGAGCTCAGCACTAGCCACCAGACCTACAGGGCTTGGCGCTTTGCGGGGGTTGCGGGGGGGGGGGGGGGTTACCCGATCCGGTTGGTCGCTCTGAGCCCCTCGAACCCCAAGCTCTTCTGCCTGAGATCATCCTCCGACGTGCGGCAGCCCAGAATTTGCTCGTCCTTCATCATGATCCTGTGGACGAGCTTCGAGCTGCTTGGGCTTCGCACAGGTGCGGAGGGAGCACAGGGCTTGGGGTTTCAAGTTCAGGATCGAGATTGCTGACCCGCACTTCCATCATTCAGGCTTAGAGATGCAGCCAGATGACCGGAAGAACAGCGCCGAGTAATCCTGCTAGCCTTGAGAAGCTCTAGTAAATGAAAAACCTGGTTATGTATGCACATGCCTTGGAGAGCCCCTAGATAACTTTAGGAGCTGAATACCCTAGCCCACAAAAGGTTAACCTGATCTTTTGTAATAGGATTATATATGGTCGTTTCCAAAATTAACCTTCTTGGGGTCCTTGTTATAAGGGAATTCTACAACCTGTGAGTCTATTTAGGGGGTCCCTTATTTTCGTAAACCCCTACATAACCAAAAAGGTTAAAGGCTGACTACCCAGCCCCTAACTATCCACAGCGCGAACTTCACCCGAATCCCAAGAGCCCTCAGAGGATCAGCCACCCCGGCCTGTACTGCAGCACCTCGATTTTGCGCTGCATGTAGGCATTCTCCTGGCATGGCGGGGTTAGGGTTTAGGGTTTCGGGTTTAGGGTTTAGGAGGGGTGGGGTGGCGTGGCGGGGGGGGGGGGGGGGGGGGGGGGGGGGGGGGGGGGGCCTGTCACTTTTGTGTCTTGATGAAGACTCTTGGGCTCCACCTTCAGAACCCAGGATCCAACCTACAAAAGAGAAATACGTTTCGTGGGGGGCGAGGGGGGGGGGGGGGTGGGGCGTGCTTTTTTTCGGTTTTGGGCATGGGGGTTTCTGGTTCTTAAGGGGGAGCTCTGACCTCTGGAAAGTTGATCTCATCGCCGCCACCCTTCTTGTCCCCCATGCTGCGTCCTGAGCTGGGCAAGTGCACGGTGGCTTCGGGGTTTAGGGGTTTAGGGTTTGGGGTTTAGGGCTTAGGGTGTAGGGTTTAGTCAATGCTTTGCCTACCAAGACTCTCTGGCGTGCCCCTGAACCTCTACAGGTGCAGCAGCACCCGAGACCCTGAAGCCTGAACCCTAAACCCTAAACCCTCAATCCTCAAGGGACTAAAGGAGTGAGGGAGACCTCTGCTTTCTTGAATGAAAGACCCTCAACCCTGAACGCCAAACCCCGAAACCCGGACAACTCTGCAACCTCAAGCCCTGACACCCCGAGGGCCTAAAACCCTGAACCCCTAAAGGGCTCGCGCCAGCCTGCGGTTTAGGCCCTAAACCCTAAACCCTAAACCCTAAACCCTAAACCCTAAACCCTAAACCCTAAACCCTAAACCCTAAACCCTAAACCTTACGTTCTTGCTTCTAAGGTCGGAACCGTGGGCCCTCAGCATGGTCTCTTACCCTTGCCCTTGAAGGGATCCGAACTATGCGCCCTTGTTATGTATACTTGACGGTTCATGGTACTTACTAACCAATTATAACTGTACTTATAACCCTACTTATAATACCCCCCAAAGCTTATGGGGGTTATCCCAATTATAAGTAGGGTTATAAGCCCAGTTATAATTGGTTAGTAAGTACCATGAAAGTAGTCCCACGTCCCGGTGCCCCAAACGATGGTCAAACTGGTGGTCGCTCCTTTGGGAGGGCCTGTAAGAGCTAAGTCAGCTAAGTCTCTATGGGCTTCTAGGTAGACAAAGGGGCTAGGACTCGTAGAACTTTAAAAGCCATGCCAAACCAACCGCCGCTTAGGTGACCCCGACAAGGTAGCATCATTTTTTGAGAGCTACACGAATGATCTTCGTAGCCCAGTAACTACATGATAATCATGGCACCCTTTTGGGCTTTATAAGCAAACCCAGAAAAAATGGGTAAAGGCACCAATGGGCTACCAAGGAATGATGTAGAGAGCCCTAAACCCTAAACCCTAAACCCCAAACCCCAAACCCTAAACCCTAAACCCTACTGTTTGAAGGACTTAGAGAGCTGCCCGAATGCCAGCCGTGCTTCGCTGCAGGCCGAGCCCTCTGGCTGCTGGAGCTCGTCAGGTGGGGAGAGGCTCGAAAAAACAGCGAGCGCCGGACGGAATGCGCAGGGGTTTAGGGTTTAGGGTTTAGGGTTTAGGGTTTAGGGTTGAGGGTTGAGGGTTGAGGGTTTCGGGTTTAGGGTTTCGGGTTTAGGGTTTAGGGTTTAGGGTTTCGGGTTTAGGGTAACCTTTTCAAGACTTGTTGTCGACGGAGACGTCCTCCCAGCTCCTGAGCCTAAACCCTAAAGCACCACCAAAAGCCTAAACCCTAAAGCACCACCAAAACCCGATAAACCCTAAACCTTGGGATGTCCCCCCTTATACGAAGAGTCCTTGATAGTGAATGTAGTACCCCCCCCCCCCCCCCACATGATGATCCCTATTCAGGACTGTTAGAATAATCCTACTATTTGGGGGCCTTTTCAAGGGGCACCCTTTTTTTTCGTACACCCCCATGACTGAGCCCTATGCCTAAAGATCCCAACACCCCTGAATTAAGGAAGGTACCGCCCTCTCATTGTTCCAAGTGCAAAGTTTGAATTTTGGGCCTAAGGGTTCAGCAACCAAGTGCATACCGCACACGTGCAGAGAAAATGATAGAGGACGTGTGCGTGCAGGGTCTCGGCGGCATTTTGGCTCACGAATTGGGCTAGGATACTCAGGGGCAAACCCTCCCTAAACCCTCAACCCTCAACCCTCAACCCTAAACGCTGCCATCGCCTGCCCTTTTGTCTCGCAACCATTTCCGTCTGTGGCGGCGTGTGGGCGCCTACCTCACGGCAACATCGAGTTGAGGAACTGGGCCCTTCTTCTGTGGGGAAGTTGCCCCAAAGAGCCCGATACCCCTCATTTAAGGAGTATCCCTAAACCCTAAACCCTAAACCCTAAACCCTAAACCCGGTTTACTAAGTTATATTCCGTAGTTGAGGGGAATTTGGGGGCTCCTTGGGGAAAGTTGTGTGTGCTTTAGGCTTCAGGCTTGGCAAGGTTTAGGTTGACTGTTCATAGGGCATCTTCAATCCCCAACCCCGCACCCTAAACCCTTTTGCTTCAGGGCCTCTGGTAACCCTAACCCTAAACCCTAAACCCTAAACCCTAAACCCTAAACCCTAAACCCTAAACACAAAGTCTCGAAAGATGAAGGCTGCACCGGGGGCCTTCTCCCATCGCACGCCTTGCGCGTGCGCCTCTGCGCAGTCCAGGAGGCCCAGGCGGCGGTGCTGCCTGCAATACAATATCTGAGGGTTTAGGGTTTAGGGTTTAGGGTTTAGGGTTTAGGGTTTAGGGTTTAGGGTTTAGGGTTTACGGTTTAGGGTTTAGGGATACATATATATATATATATACATACATATGAATATGTATTAAGAACCCCCAGACCCCACACCTGCACTAGTCACTACGATTTGCTGAAGAGCCCCCCCAGAAAATAGAAGGTGACTATCCTTATGTATGGCCCCTACAAAGGAGAATGTTTGTGAGTTTTTTGGTGGGCCCTAAACCCTAAACCCTAAACCCTAAACCCTAAACCCTAAGCCCTAAACCCTAAACCCTAAACCCTAAAGCCCTAAACCCTAAACCCAAACCCTAAACCCCTAAACCAGTGAACACCGCAGACCAGCCTTCCCAAATTGAGGGTCTGAGATGGCTCCGGCTTGGGGCTTGAACTTGTTGAGTTGCTGGGTTTAGGGTTTAGGGTTTAGGGTTCAGGGTTTAGGGTTTAGGTTTAGGCTTTAGGGCCAGGGTTTAGAGTTTAGGGAGGAACCCTATAAGACCGCCACAAACTTTCAGGGCAATTGTGAGTGTTCTCTTCGCATGCAAGAGGCACCCAAAAGAAGCGCCCACGACTTCAAGAATTGGCAGTAAGAAACACGGGTTGGTGGAGCCTAAACCCTAAACCCTAACACCTAAACCCTAAGCTTTTGCAAGCATGCCCTAAACCCTAAACCCTTGTTGCTGCCGGGCTCCTGCAGTTCAGTGCTTGATAGGGTTTAGGGTTTAGGGTTTAGGGTTTAGGGTCTAGGGTCTAGGGTCTAGGGTCTAGGGTCTAGGGGGTTTAGGTTTAGGGTTTTAGGGTGTTAGGGTTTTAGGGCTTTAGGGTTTAGGGTTAGGGTTTAGTCAGGGCTCAGCGTTTACCGAAGCCGTGGCGCAGAGGGGGCGCGGAGCCGTCTAGGCACAGGTTCGTGAACGAGGTGTCCACCGGACCCCACTGCCTCGTTCCCGTGGGCAGGGTTTAGGGTTTAGGGTGTAGGGTTTAGGGTTCAGGGTTTAGGGTTTAGGGTTTAGGGCTTAGGGTTTAGGGCTGAGGGTTGATGGTTGAGGGTGTAGGGTTTAGGGTTTCTTGGGAACCCTTATATGCCCCCTATATAACCTACATAACCTAGAAAACCCAAAGGGCCCCATACTTCAGAACCCCTTGAAGAAGGTCGGGGACCATATTCAGAGACCATGTAACTTCCCTTAGAGCTTCGGATTTCGCACTTGCACAGAATTAGGGCTTTGGGTTGTGTCTGCACTGAAGAGCCGAGTATCCCAGTTCGTTCCATTGGTCTATCCCGGCTTAGAAAACCCAAAGGGCGCAGGGTTTGAAGCCCTACACGCCTAACTTCCACCTCCAAACCGTAAGGCGTTTGAGGGCTTTTGCTCTACACCCTAAACCCTAAACCCTAAACCGCAATGGGGTGTTCTTTGTTCCCGATGCTCCACGGGCTACTGTTCAGGATCAAATGGTTCAGGGGTCGCACGTGTCGGTGTTGAGGCTTCTAGGGTGAGGAGTCGTTTAGGCCCAGAGAGCCCAAGACCCCTTGATACTTACTTAAGGAGCATATCTTAAATCAAATTCAGAATGCCTGTGAAAAGTCAAGGAAACATGAGTCCTTAATTGGGGTATTAAACGAGATCTAGCTGCGTCTGAGGTGCGTTAGGTGGCCGGCGGGCGTCCTGAGTCGGCTTCTGTGTGATCCAAGTCTCCCAAAGCCCCGAACCCACGAGACCCTCTTCGACTCTACACTCCCCCCTGCTCGGAAGTTCATGGTACTCATTAACCCACTTGTAAGTGTACTGATAACCCAAGTATAACCATGTTAAGGCACTTGAAGGGGTTTATAAGTGGGTTATAATTGCAGTCATAGCTGGGTTGTGTCCAAGTAGAAGCATGAGAAAAAGAACACACCAACCTTCAAACTCCTTGGGTATTCTGCAAAAAAAAATGACCCGCGCAAGGTTCTGCAGGAGCCTTTACATCAGGGGTCCTTGCGTAGCATGGTGTCTCCCGAAACCCCGAACCTCGCCGACGATGCGCCGCCGGAAGGAAGATTTGGCATCACAAGGTCAGAACTTACCTAGGAGTTAAGATTCGGGGGGGACCCTTGGGGATATACACCCTCTGAATAAGGTCCCTGTTAAGAGGCCCAGAAGTAGGGTGAAGGAGGGGTCCCCCTGATACTACCTAGGATTGCCCTAACCCTTAACCCCTTTGAAGCCATGTAGAGATGGTGCAGGAGCCAGCGACTGTGAACCGCAATCTTGCAACCGCCACGTTTGCACCAGACGCAGCTCTCATAGGGGTTGAATACCCTAGCCCAAAAAAAGGTAACCTTGTATATATATATATATGGATACATAGTAGGATTCTGAAAATCCAAAAGGGTAAAGGTTACCCAGTCTCTAAGCTCTACGCTACACCCCCAAGACCCGAAGACACATTCATCCAGAGTGGTGGGAAACGCCACTGTTGGCTTCTCCCTAAACTCAAAACCCAAAACCCAAAACCCTACACCGAAAACCCTAAACCCTACACCCAAAACCCAAAACCCTAAACCCTGAACCTCGAACCCTGAACACCCTTCTCTCAGGTTCTGGTTATCCACTGCTGCCTAGCCACAGCCATAGTGCCTGGTTGGTGTTGACCACGCCGTACGGTGCATGCACGTCTTCCATGCTGTAGCACACCTCACCCAAAACATCCCAGAACCCTCAACCCTGAACCCCTTTTGTCCCTCAAGCCCTGAAATCCTCAATCCTGAAACCTGACACCCTCAACCTTGTAGGGGTTGATTCAGGGCTTCCGGATCCAGAGAGGGTGCTGGCCACAATCACGGGCAAGGCTCCAACCTCTACGTGAGACAAAGCACCCTCCAAAACCTTAAACCGCGCAACGTACAGCAGAGGGCTGTCACCATTGTCGATGTCCAGACCTGCAGAGGAGTTGACCCTCAAAGGCTTCAGGGTTTAGGGTTCAGGGTTAGCAAGATTCGCGAGCTCACACACAACACACAGAGAGCGGAAGGGAAGCCGCCAACCCCCCCCCCCCATGGCGAATCCAACCAAGCGCCAGACAAATGTCCGTCTTTGCGGCAGGCTTCAGCCCCAGCCTGATGTGGAGTCGTGCGCATCGCATCCACTGCTTGTGTCCCCAAAAGGACCCAAGAGACACAGAGAGAGAGAGAGAGAGGGAGAGAGAGAGGGAGAGGGAGAGAGAGGGAGAGAGAGAGAGAGAGGGAGAGGAATACGTAGATGGAGAAAAAAGATATACACTCACCAATGCTTCTACGGAGCACATACATACATACATACATACATACATACATACATACATACATACATACATACATACATACATACATACATACATACAAATATGTATATATATATACATATGCTGCCATATAGATATGTACATATACAGATATATATATATATACATATATATATAGATGTGTGTGTATACACGACAGCCTGGCGGGACTGTGGGAGGCCTTGACGACTTGGGCCGAGTTGGGAATTCGGATTTCAAGAGGGCGGGGGTTTAGGGTTTAGGGTTTAGGGTTTAGGGTTTAGGGTTTAGGGTTTAGGGTTTAGGGTTTAGGGTTTAGGGTTTTGTTTTTGCCACCCGCCTAGCTGACACTCCGGCCACATTGCAGGGACTAGTTCCGGTTTAGGGTTTAGGGTTTAGGGTTTAGGGTTTAGGGTTTAGGGTTTAGGTACCTTTTTGCATGGAAACCTGCTCTCGGACTCATAGTGTTGCATGAAGCCTGGTGACGCCTGAGCTGCCTGGCCCCTAAACCCTAAGCCCGTATAACTTATCACCCTTATACCTAAACCCTAAACCCTGAACCCCAAACCCTAAGCCCTTATCCCTAAACCCTAAAACCTAAACCCTAAACCCAGCTCGCCGTATCCTGCCGCGCGGCTTCAAGGATGGCTTGGCCCATCGCCAGTGCTGGGACTCCTCCTATGCTCAGCAAGGCTTTAGAATAGGGTGCAATCATGGAAAAACCTTCAACCCTAAAACCTAAACCCTAAACATCAACATCCCTAAACCCTAAACCTTAAACCCTAAACCCTAAACTCACGGGAATATCAGGGTTTGGGGTTGAAGGACGTGTTGAATCCAACCTTGAGAGCCCTGGCCTAGGATTCAGGGTTGAGGGTTTAGGGTTTAGGGCGGGTTTAGGGTTAAGGGTTTGGGGTTTAGGGCTTAGGGTTTAAGGCTAAAGACATCAGCAAGGCTCTTCTTGGTTGCCCGCTTGACAAGTCGTCAGTCGCTGTCCAACTGTTTCTACAAAACCTGCGCAAGTATACCCTAAGCCCTAAACCCTTTTGCAACAGGCCTCGACCCTAAACCAAACCCGAAACCCAAAACCCTTTTGCAGTAAACACACCCTAAACCGCGACCTGTTCTTTGCACTTCAGACACGGAATTGCGCATGGCCTCAGGCTGGCAGGGCGCCAAGGAGGGCACCTTGTTGACCATGGCGACTAGGGTTTCGGGTTTAGGGTTTAGGGTTTAGAGTTTAGGGTTTAGGGTTTAGGGTTTAGGGTTTGGGGTTCAGGGTTCAGGGTTTAGGGTTTAGGGTTTAGGGTTTAGGGTTTAGGGTTTAGGGTTTAGGGTTTAGGGCCAGATGCTACCCAGACCGGACACGTCGAACTCCCCTGGGCGGCCTCTGGCATGCTTGGAGGACAGTACGGCGACTATGGGATCTGAGACTCTGAGCAGGGTTTAAATTTACAGTACAGTTTTGGGGGGGTTTAGGGTTTCTGGTGTGTTGGCCCCTTTCCTGTTGTCAATTCATAACCGGGGCTGGCTAATAACAGGAGTTTTATGGCCGGTCAAGAAAGGTTACGTCCCGGTGAACAAGATTATAAAAGTAAATAGCTGGTTAAAAGAGGTTAACAAGTTCATCACGGGGTAAGTGAAGAATTGATCGCTCACTGGTTTACTTATAGTTTATTCATCATGGGAACACTCTGAACTTGTTAAAAGCAGTTCACATGACAGCCTTTTTGCATTCAATCAGTCAAGGTCCGGTGAGAGAAGAGAACGACTAACAGGATGTGTGAATAATAAACTACATAAAAGCTGCAATTTTGGAAATCTAGGGTGCAGAGTTTAAGACGTAGGGTCGCGGTTTTAGGTACACTTCACGACTTGTGCTAGGGGTCTTTGAAGGTCAACCTTTGGGTTCTAAGTCGAGCGCGTCTTCTCGCATCCACGTATCTTCTTTTTTCAAGGCTGTAATATACATGGCGCCAAAACCCTAAACCCTAAACCCTAAACCCTAAACCCTAAACCCTAAACCCTAAACCCTAAACCCTAAACCCTAAACAAACTCAGCTCCTCAGTTGGGATTTGGGGGTTCGGGGCTCCTGGGGCCCGCACCCGCGCATCCGAGTCCGCAGAGGCCGAGAGGCACTGCCCTCCGAGATGGCAGGGCGTGGAGGGCTGATTCACACGTGGGCTGTTCAGGGCTTAGGGTTTAAGGTTTAGGGTTTAGGGTTTAGGGTTTGGGGTTTAGGGTTTAGGGTTTGGGGTTTGGGGTTTAGGGTTTAGGGTTTAGGGTTTAGGGCTTGGGGTTTAGGGTTTAGGGTTTGGGGTTTAGGGTTTAGGGTTTGGGGTTTAGGGTTTAGGGTTTGGGGTGTGGGGTTTAGGGTTTAGGGTTTAGGGTTTAGGGTTTAGGGTTTAGGGTTTAGGGTTTAGGGTTTAGGGTATAGGGTTTAGGGTTTAGGGTTTAGGGTTTAGGGTTTAGGGTTTAGGGTTTAGGGTTTAGGGTTTAGGGTTTACCCAACTCATAACAAACGTTCAGTGCGGGGGCGAGGTCAGCCGAACTCCTAAGGCCACTCAAACCACCGTATCATAGGCCTCTTGAGGGAGGGGGGGTTCATGGGGGGTAGGTACCTAGGGAACCTTAGGGAAGCTTAGGGAGCCTTAGGGAGTAGCGGGGGAGTCTTCAGAACCCTGTAACCGTAGTACAAGCCCAACCCCTTGTTTGGACCAGAGCTCATTTAGGGTTTAGGGTTTAGGGTTTAGGGTTTAGGCTTTAGGGTTTAGGGTTTAGGGTTTAGGGTTTAGGGTTTAGGGTTTAGGGTTTAGGGTTTAGGGTTTAGGGGCGTGTCAGGGCTCTTCTCAGGGTGTAAGGGTTTAGGACCATTTGCTCAGGGAAGTCCCCTGATGAAACCTACATAACTTTTCAGTGGAACCTCTCCAAGGCCCGCATGCTATGTACGGGTTGAGGCAACCCTTTGCAGGGGTCTGTTGTAAGGATATTGAGGGCGTCAGGATTTAAGTTTAAGGGCTTCGGGGCTTTGAGTGGTTTTGGCGGCTGTTGTGGGTCTGTGGTTTGATCGGGGCGAGAGGGACTTTGAGGGCTCTCCGGAAACTTGAGGCGAGCTGGTGAACGTGGCCCCATCTCGTGGCGGCTCGCACAACTTGAGAAGTATACCAAGGGCCTGACACTTCCCGAACGCAGCCCTCAGATCCTACTCACCTCGAGGAGGCGCCACATGCGCAAGGGGTTTTGAGTTTAGAGTTTAGGGTATAGGGGTTCGCCCACATGCCTTTGGCGACATGGAGTGTGGGGTTTCAGGGTTTTGGGGACACCAGAAGCTCGATCTAGAAACCCTGGCGAGTGATCAGAACTGCCTGTGGCCAGAAGGAGCCGAAACTTGTCCGTCCCCGCGACGGCCTGTCAGCTTGCTGAGACGTTAGCTTCTGCGTGTGTTCAACCCTCAACCCTCAACCCTCAACCCTAAACCCTAAACCCGAAACCCTAAGCCCTAAACCCTAAACCCTACCAAATAAGAAATACTTCAATTCACCAGGGTTGGGCTTCAGATCGCCTCCCAGTAGCATCATGAAAGTCTTACTAGGTCTGGGGTTTGGGAAGAGTCGACTCCCCTTCACCCTAAACCCTAAACCCTAAACCCTAAACTCTAAACCCTAATCCGAACTCCATGTTGGCGTGCCTCCGCATGGAAGCGTTGCTCCTCAATGGCCTGGCACGCTCTCAACTTAAAAGGGGTCGAAGGAGGGAACCCTAGAAGGGATCCTTATGGCGGGGGTTTAGGGTTTAGGGTTTAGGGTTTAGGGTTTAGGGTTTAGGGTTTAGGGTTTAGGGTTTAGGGTTTAGGGTTTAGGGTTTAGGGTTTAGGGACCCTTAGTCTTCTTCCCCTGTATAACCCCTATATATACACACGCCTTGTATAGTCCCTATATGCCTAAGTAGCCCCTACATCCACCCTAACCTGATCAACAGCGAAACCTTGCGGTTCTATCAGCACGCGTGCGGTCTTGAAATGGCGTAGAGACCGCTGGCTCCTAAACGGCCGCTGTACGGCGTCAACCATGCGCTGCCCCTTAGGGGATAGGAGTAGGGTGACCCTTGCGGATATAGAACCCTGAATACTGAAAAAGGTCCCTGTAAGAGAGCCAAAATCAGGTTAAGAAGGGTTCTCTTTAAAGAGCCCCCCCTTATCTTACCTAGGAGTCCCTGTGTCCCCATTTGTTGGCTCTGACTGAGCACTGTACAGGTGTGATTCTGGGCTTCGACTCGCACCCATTGGATCCACCCCCAACTCGAACCCACCCCCAGAAAATGTTTGAAAACCAGCAATGCCCAAACACCCCAAACACCGAGATCCTGTGAGAAGGCCCTCAACGCCTCAACCCTAAAACCACTCCAAGTACGAAACCTACCGTTTCAATGCAACCTAAAACACTCTTCATGAACAACCCATAAGATCCAGGAATAGACCTTGAATCACATTAAGGATAAATACTATAAATTAAGGTCTATCCCATGTTTGAAGCGGCATTGGGCTCTTTGGGCCCTGAACCCCAAACCCAAGCCCTAAATCCTAGGCCCGAAACCCGAAACCCTAAACCAAAAACCCTGAGTGCTAAACCCTAAACCCTTAACCCTAAACCCTCAACCCTCAACCCTCAACCCTCAACCCTCAACCCTCAACCCACAACCCACAACCCACAACCCTCAACCCTCAACCCTCAACCCTCAACTCTCAACTCTCAGCCTGCACTGCCTGGCCTGCCCCCCAGGAGCACTGAAGCGGCAGGCGCTCCACTGGACCTCCCAAACCAGAGGCCCTAAGCCCCCACAGAGGCCTCTGTACCCTTTACGTAGGGTTTAGGGTTTAGGGCTTAGGGCTTAGGGTTTAGGGTTTAGGGTTTAGGGTTTAGGGTTTAGACTCTCACACTCGCACAAGGCCGGCAGGGCATCGGTTTAGGGTGTAGGGTGTAGGGTTTAGGGTCTAGGGTTTAGGGTCTAGGGTTTAGGGTTTGAGGTTTAGGGTTCAGGGCTTCTGCGGCACAATCTCTGAAGAGCGAATCTTGGGTGCCAGCGTGAAACACCACACAGCACTGCAAGCCCAGGACACCACCACACAAAGGGTTTAGGGTTTAGGGTTTAGGGTTTAGGGTTTAGGGTTTAGGGTTTAGGGTTTAGGGTTAAGTAGGGTTTGGGGTCCTTGGCTGCAGGGGGCAAGTTTGATTGATTCGGACTGTAGTCGACCCTAACCCTCAACCCGAAACCCTAAACCCTAAACCCTCAACCATAAACCCTAAACCCTAAACCCGAGACCCTAAACCCTAAACCCTAAACCCTCAACCCTAAACCCTAAACCCTGAACACTCGGAGCCCACCCCACACCGCTCCAGGCTCACCTGGGCCTCTCTGGGCACATCTACTGGCGAGCCGGGCACGAGGCAGCCTGGCACAGCGAAGGCAAGAGGGCTGAGTTCTTAGGGTTTGGGGCTTAGGGTTCGGGGTTTGGGGTTTGGGGTTTGGGGTTTGGGGTTTAGGGTTTAGGGTTTAGGGTTGAGGGTTGAGGGTTGAGGGCACAGCGAAGGAAACAGGGCTGAGTTCCTAGGGTAGTTACATGGTCCCTTAATATGGGCCCTTAAAGGGGGACCCCTTGTATACCCCTTATATACCCTATACATACTAAGGGCCCATGAAACTACCCTTAGATGAGTGCGTTGGGTTTGGGGCTTAGGGTTCGGGGTTTAGGGTTTCGACTCTCACAACTGGCACATGTGCAGGCAAGTTTTTTTTGCCACACGCCTAGCTGAGCCCAGGGGGCCACTCTGCAGACAAGTTTAAGGTTCGGGGTTTCGGGTTTCGGGTTTCGGGTTTCGGGTTTCGGGTTTAGGGTTTAGGGTTTAGGGTGCTTGGAATTTGGGGCCATTTCGGCTTTGCCAGCTCGGCTTTGCAAAGAAGCCTGGCAAGGGTCAGGCAGGATACTCCTCAACTCCCCGCCCAAACTATTCGAATCTCTTTGGTCCCCTATGAAAGAGACCTGTCTTCTCAAAGTCTGTGTGCGCTGCAGAAAAGACTGCGGAGCCTATAACGAGGGCGTGCGTGAAGTGCGAGAAAAGTCTTGGCATGTGCACACCATCTTCGAGAACCCTAAAACCTACCAAACCCCAAATTTGGATGTTCCCCCGAATACTAACAGTCCTTAATAGGGATTAGCATAGGGGGTACAATAATCCCGATTAAGGACTGTTAGCACAATGAAGGGGGAACGCCCCAACCCTACATCCTAAACTCTGGCACTTCAAGAGCTCCGCGGGGTCGCTGCTTGGTAAAGTCCTAAACCCTAAACCCTGAAACCCTAAAACCTGAACCCTAAAACCCTAACCCTAAACCCTATTGCTGAGCCCAGCACCCCACTCGGGACTGATCAGCAAACCGTCGCGGACCTCCCACAACTGGCCTCAACGTTCAGATTGCAGCACTCCAGCAACCCCTTTCAGGACACAAAACTGATGACTGCCCTGGACAGCGCAACGCTGGTCGCAGAGGCTGCGACTGTTGGGAGGCTTGCGGTGAATGCACCTGGACAATTAGGGTTTAGGGTTTAGGGTTTAGGGTCAGTGCTCCAACTTCCGCGTCGGAAATTCCAGAACTGCCTATGGGTGCACTAGTTCATGGTTGGTATAATTTTAAAACCTTGAACGTTTATTCCCTATTGGGTTTAAGGAATGCAAAATGGTACCCAACTATGACAAAGTGCAGGTCTGACGACAGCTTGCGCACCCGAGCCCAAAGAGCCCAATACCCCTTAATTAAGTAAGGATCCCTTTATAATTTAAGGTATATTCCTTAACTAAGTATTGGGCTCTTTGGAGTTGCAAGAGCGCAGCCTTGCGCCCATCTTAGCTCCCAGAAATGCTCAGAATGTCTGTACTCCTCTGAATACAGAAACTTCGGGACTGAATACCATAGCCCAAAAAAAGTTTAACCTTTTCTGTGATAGGATTGTATGTATACATATATATATATAGCCAACAAGGCGAAAAGATTAACAACCCAGCCCCCTAAGGAAAATTCAACCGAGCAGCCCGTACGGTCCTGGCTTGCCCAGCCGGCCTTGACACCACTTGAAGGTTCATGGTACTTCCTAACCAAATATAACTGTACTTATAACCCTACTTGTAATACCCCCCAAAGCTTATAGGGGTTATCCCAATTATAAGTAGGGTTATAAGCCCAGTTAGAATTGGCTAGTAAGTACCATGAACCTCCAAGCAGAGACGCGGGATCCGCATTTAGGGTTCCGGGTTTCGGGTTTAGCTTCAGCGTGTGGGCGCTTCGCTTCGTGGCTCAGGACTCAAGATGTGGAGGTTTGCGAGCAGTTTGTTGCTTAGGCTGTTTAGGAGCTAGACTTGGTTTGGTTTGGGGGTTGGGTCTGCAGGACATAGGGGGCTACTTCGAGGATCTACGCATTCTGAGTAGCCGCAAAATGGACCCGGCTTGGGTTGTGCTCCTTAAGAACCCCTCCTAGTCCTAGACCCAGGAGCAACCTGGGAACAAAAAGGGTACGGTTTAAGAGGGGCTTGCAAGGGAACCTCAACCCCTCAAAAACAGGGAGCAAGGGCCTACTCTGGGTCTTAGCTACTTAGGAGCCACTCGCCCAACAAGTCAAAGGCAGTGCCGCCACGCGCTGCAGCCCTCTGAGGCGCTCGCCGTCCAGACCTTAGAAGCACATGAGGTGGCTTCAGGGTCAAGGCATGGTTCCTCCCACCGAAGATTTTCGAGGCTTGTTTCTGCTGCTGTCTCTCTTCTCTCTCTCGCTCCCTCCCTCCCCTCCCGTGCTCCCGCTCCCGCCCGCCCTCCCGCCCTCCCGCCCACTCCCGCCCTCCCACCCCGCCCTCCCGCCCTCCCGCCCTCCCGCCCTCCCGCCCTCCAGCCCTCCCGCCCTCCTGCCCGCCCTCCCGCTCCCGCCCTCCCGCCCTCCCACCCTTCCGCCAATCATGCGAGGCAAATGATGCACATGATGCAAATGTCAAACAAGGAAAAATTTAGGATCTCAAGGGGGTGCAGGTCGTTCCCAAGGCTTGGGCGTTCAGGGTCCAAGATCTTGGAGATGTATGACTTCGGCAAAGATGCAGAAGGTGTTAGGGCCAAAAAACCCAAAGCCCCAATTCCTTACACTGATGACTGGAGCCCAAAATCTGAGCCTAGAGTTTTAGAGAGCGAACTTTTTTTGACCAACGGGGGGCCGGGGGGGGTCGTACAGACCTAAACAAGGATCCCTGAGCCAGGTTCGCAGGCTCCGCAAGGTATGTCCCGGGGCCTAAGAATCTTGAGTGGTTTTGAGGTCTAGGGCTTAGGATGTAGTGTTGTTGGCTTCGGGTTTAGGGTTCAGGGCTTCGACTCTCACACTCGCGCACAGCAGGCAAGGCTTAGGCGTAGGGTTTAGGCTTGCCTTTGTAGGCCTAAATCACTCACAAGTCGGGCAAGCTTGTTTAGGGTTTAGGGTTTAGGGTCGCTTTCGTGAACCGAAAACCCACAAACCTGCCTTCGCCACCCATCTCAACACCTCCTTGACCCCTTAACCCTTTATCCTTACAACTCAAGCCCTAAAACTGCCCTAAACCCTAAACCCTGAACGCAAAACGCTAAACCCTAAACCCTAAACCCTAAACCCTAAAGTAAACAGCACCCTGCACCCTAAACCCTGAACCCTAAACCCTGGCTCTGGAGTCCCAAGAGGCAATAGCTCGATGAGCCGTGGAGATTCCTCGGGTGGACATACACTGCTCGGCTTTTGTCTTTAAAGCATACGGCTTGGGGTTTAGGACTTGGGGCTTAAGGCTTTGGGCTTAGGTTTAGGGTTTAGGGTTTAGGGTTAAGGGTTAAGGATTAAGGGTTAAGGGTTAAGGGTTTAGGGCTTGGGGTTTAGGGTTAGGGTGTAGGGTTTAGGGTTTAGGGTATAGGGTTTAGGGTTTCGGGTTTCAGGTTTAGGGTTTAGGGTTTAGGGTTTAGGGTTTAGGGTTTAGGGCTTAGGGTTTAGGGTTTAGGGTTTGATTGGCGGGGGAATATGAGATTCCCAGCATAATCCCATTGTCATTCCCGCATACTTCGTAAATATTACCCATTCTTGCGCAGAAGGCCCTCTGATATCCTGATAAGCCCAAAACCTGAAAAAAAAATTGCCTCAACTCCCCACTTGGGGGGTGCTGAGTGAGTAGTTTATCAGGTCATGGGACCGGCTCCCTTATCAGGAAACTAAAACCCTGTTCTGTACCTACTTTCTACGCCCCACGATCCTTAAACCCTACAGCCTGCACCCTTAGGGTTTGGGGTTTGGGGTTTGGGGTTTAGGGTTTAGGGTCCCTAAACCCGAAATCCTGCAAGGCCTGAAGCCCGAACATCCTCCAGAGACAGCCCCCCCGAGCCTCCACGGGCCAAGGCCACTGCAACATGCGAGGTGGCCATCCTCCAGCGCAAGCGTACTTCGTTTTTAGTGCATGCATTTGTTGGCCTGTGTATATATATATATTTATATTTATATTTATATTTATTTATTTATTTGTTTATTTATTTAACTATTTATATTTATAGTTATATTTATATTCATATTTTTACATTTATATGTATATTTGTATGTATATTTATATTGATAATTATAGTTATAATTATAATTATAGTTATTAATTATTTATTAATTTATTTACATGTGTGTATAGGTATATATGTATATGGAGAAAAGATGTATCTACGCATGTATGCATGTGTGTGTGCATCGATCTCTGTACGGGCATACACCAATGAGAAGGTTGATACGGATGCTGATATGTCTATGTATATATGTATATGCAGTCAAGAGGTTGAAAGATGCCTTTTTTGGGGGGTGGGGGGGTGGGGGGTGATGTTTTGGGGTGCAGAGTCTTGGGTTTCAGTTTTGTATGCTTGATTCCCTTTACCCTAACCCTAAATGCAAAACCCTCAACCCTAAACCCTAAACCCGGGGTGTTCGAGGAGTTGCAGGAAGCATCAGTCGTGTGGTCAAGAACTTGAGCTTGGGGGGTGAGCGTGCGGTCATCGCCCAGTGAGTGCGCTTCACCACCCGACCCTCCCAGCCGTGCGGTGCCAAGGACAGCTCAAAGCTCGGAAGCATTCTCAACGCAGCTCGGCTGTAGCTGCCCAACTGGCTTGCGGCACACGTCGATGGCGACTGTGAACCCTAAACCCTAAACCCTAAACCCTAAACCCTAAACCCTAAACCCTAAACCCTAAACCCTAAACCCTAAACCCTAAACCCTAAACCCTAAACCCTAGCGGCAGGACCGCTTCGTGGCAGTCGCAGACGTTGCGAACTTGCACGCTCTTTGCTGTGAACTCCAGGCACCGACTGGAGCTCTGGGCTCTTTCTTGACCGGTTCTAGGGCAGTTTGGGGTTTAAGGTTTAGGGTTTAGGGTTTAGGGTTTAGGGTTTAGGGTACCCCACTGTGACAAAGCTACAAGAAGCGGTCAAGGCTTCCGGCCTGGATGTCCTCATTCTTGTGCACGAACCACTGGCCTGCAGGGCACACATGGCTCAAACCCCTAAGCCCTGAACTCCCTGCCCTTAACCCTAAACCCTAAACCCTAAACCCAGGTAGCCCCTGTCTTGGGATGTTCCCCCCTATACTAACCGTCCTGAATAGTGAGTAACCCTAAACCCTAAACCCTAAGTACCCCCTACTACAATCCTTATTAAGGGCTGTTAGTATAAAGGGGAGCATCCCAACGCATATCTACTTACTAAATCCCCGGATCCAAGTACAACCCGCCACCGCAGGTTGGATTTTACCCTAAACCTTAAACCCTAAACCCTAAACCCTAAACCCTAAACCCTAAACCCTAAACCCTAAACCCTAAACCCTAAACCCTAAACCCTAAACCCTAAACCCTAAACCCTAAACCTCACAGATCCAGCCGACCTGTGGCAGTCTCGTCGCATTTCGACAAGCCCCACTCGTCCTTGTTCCACTCCTGCAGGCAGAGTCCTGCACACACGATAAGGTTTATGGGGTTTATGGTTTTTTTTTCGCTTAGGGTTTCGGGTTTATTGCTGCTTTTGCAACAGAACCCTCGCCGCTGTTGTTGCGTAGTCGTCCGTTTCGTGCGCAAAGATACAAACGTATCTGTCCGACCGGCTAATTCGTCAGGAAACGGTTTGTCCGAATTTCAAGCAAGGCCGCCTCAGCCCTGAACCCTAGACCCTGAGGAGGCTCACTGCACAAACCACGAAAGCAACAACAGCATTCCAAGCTCGAGCCAATTTGAGCATAGAACCCGACTATGCAAGTATAAATACATATATATATACACACACATAAATAAATGTATACACACATATATATATGTATAGATATGTGTTATAGAGGTATGGTATAGAAGAGGAGGTCTTATCACATGCACCTCAGAAAGTAACATGAGTTTTAGGACAGATCCTCTCAAAAGCGAGCACCAACAAGTTGTCAGTCGGGTGGGCAAGAGGCCGGCCAGTTCCGTTCGCTTCTTTAGGGCTTAGGGCTTTGGGCTTTGGGCTTCGGGTTTAGGGTGTAGGGTCTAGGGTTGGAGGCCTACTGCAGATGCTGGGTGGCTTACCTACTAGAAAAGATAAGGGCCTAAGGGGTTAATTTGGGCAGTCAGGCCCTTATATAACCCTAAACCCAAGAGGTAAGTTGAAACCGAAAGTCCAACCACAAGCTGCCGTCGTAAGTAGGGTTCGTGAGGTGGGTTCTGGGGATTCTAAGAGGGTTTTTTGAGGGGATACTAAGTAGACTTACGAAGTCAAGCGAGCTCCCAAGCATGAATGAACCCCCCCCCCCCCCTCCCTCAAGAACCCTAAACCCTAAACCCTGAACCCTAAACCCTACACCGTACACCCTAAACCCGAACCCCCTAAACCCTAAACCCTAAACCCTAAACCCCAAACCCTCCTACACCCCATAACAAACTCTGAGGCCCTGCATCCCACAAGGCCCTTGTGCAGCACACCCCCTACTGCTCCCAAAAGATAAAGCTCCTGTCTAGGGTAAGCAGGCCACCCGTAAAACAAGAGTAAATATTTAGGGTTTAGGATTTAGTTCTAGGGGAATAAACCGATAACTAGACCCGGAACAAAACAGGGTGCCCTCTTTGGCTTAAAGGGGTGGTTAAGGGAGCCTGGGACAAAAAACAGGGGAATAAGGGCCTACTCTGGGTCCGAGTTTAACAGACGGCAGCGCGAAGACATGGCTGCCAGGGGTCCTGCAGACTCCTCCCGCAGGCCAAACACCTCTGGCCGGGCTTCAACATGCTTTGCTTGGAGGTTCCACGCGACAAGCAAAGCAACTGTAGATATAACTTCCAAACCCCACTTGAGGTACATATAGCCTGACTTTGACCTACGCCATCTAAGTCTAGATTTACCCACGTACCCACCTGGAGACTAGCCCTTCATCAGGCTTAAAAAAAATTGCAGCAGTCGGAGCCGTGGCATCATTCAAGAACAGTCCTTTCCAAGGCCCTACATGTCCGCAACCCAAGGCACCAGATCCTAGTCGCGAGAACAGGCCTTCTAAGGACCAAGATTTCTGGGCCCTAGCTGCACCACATGCGAAGGGGTCACGTGGCGGAGTGGTAAAGTCTAGGCACAACCCCGAAACCTCCAAAGCTTACGCCCGAATTCGGAAGGATAGCACGGCTGCCTCTCGCGGGAGGAGGCCCAGGATTTCCAACGGCAAGCGATACGCGTCCTTTTTTGAGGGGGCTGTGTCTGTGTGCAGGCGTTGTGAGTTGTGGGGGTTGGACTTGGGCTTGAAAGTGTGGTGCCTGATGAGGCCGGGCAGGTGGTCCTGCTTGCAATCAACCAAAAACTTGGAAAGTCTGAAATCATAAGACCTGAAGCCTTGGCTTTGAAGTCTGCTCCCTAAACCCTAAACCCTAAACCCTCAACCCTAAACCGGAAATTGCAGGCGAGCTGCCAGAAAGCTGCCCAAGCCTGCTCAAGAGGGGCGCGAGAGAGGGGCATACGCCGAACTGAAGGCGGTGGTGAAAGACCCAAATTGAGCCCAACACCCCTTGATTGAGGGGCTTAGGGCTTAGGGCTTAGGGCTTAGGGCTTAGGGCTTAGGGCTTCGGGCTTGGGGCTTAGGGCTTAGGGCTTAGGGCTTAGGGCTTAGGGCTCAGGGCTCAGGGCTTAGGGGTCAGGGTGTAGGGTTTAGGGTTTAGGGTTTAGGGTTTCTCTCTCTCTCTCTCTCTCTCTCTCTCTCTCTCTCTCTGTCTGCCGCGCCATCCTCTAGGCATGCAAGGGCACGAAAAGCAGGCCAGGATCTCAGGAGGTTTAGGGTTTAAGGTTCAGGCTTTAGGGTTTGGGGTTTAGGGTTTAAGGCTCAGGCTTTAGGGTTTAGGGTTTAAGGTGCCAGTAAACTCCAGAAAGTTGGAACATGGTTTAAGGATGATTGGAGCAGGGATTCCCTCTAGTATACCTTTTGGTGTATGGGGATGAGGATGTTCCAACTTTTCGGGCTTTACTGTAAAAAATTTGAAACCCTAAACCCTAAACCCTAAATCCTAAACCCTAAACCCTAAACCCTAAACCCGGGCTCACAGGGCTGCACGGAGAACTGGGGCCGGGGTTCGTCGGGGCAAGCCGAACATTTCAAGCCACCTTGCCCAAACTACCGCAACTTACATCCCGAGCCTCCGTCGCCCGAGAGACAAATGCACAGAATACGATGACTGAACCCTAAATCTCCCCTTATTGAACCCGAGACCCCCTTAGAATCCTACACCCGAAACCCTACAAATCCTTCACCCTGACCCCCTACACCCGAAACCCTACACCCGAAACCCTAAACCCTAAACCCTAAACCCTTCACCCCCAAACCCGACAAACGCTTCACCCTCAGCCCCCTTACCGCAAGCTCCAGAAATCGGCCCAAGGATGCTCCGTCCTCATTTGGAGGTTCAGGGTACTCATTAACCAAGGGTTTAGGGTTTGGGGTTTAGGGTTTAGGGTTTAGGGTTTAGGGTCCAGGGTTTAGGGATAGTAACCACGTATATCTGTACTTAGAACCCACTTATAAGCCCCTTCAGGGCCCTAATAGGCTTGTACAGTTCTAAGTACAGGTATAATTGGTTCTGAAGTACCATGAACCTCCATGTCCTAAACCCTAAACCCTAAACTAATTGGGCTATAAGTACAGTTAGAAGTGGTTAATACGTACCATGAACCTCCAAGCACCCCCTCGTGGTGCCTGCACACTGCAGCCGCCCCTGTCACAGCTCAAGCTTTTCGATGCGTGGCTCATGTAGGGCGGAGGATGGTCGAGGGCGTAGGGTTCAGCGCTGAGGGTTTAGGGTTTTGGGTTTAGGGTTCAGGGTTTTTAGGGTTTCGGGAAAAAGGGTTTGGCGCTGGTTTTTTTTTGGCTGAGGGTTTAGGGTTTAGGGTTTCGGTTTGAGGGTGTCTCATTGAGGGGGCGCGCTGGTGCTAGAAGCACCCACGCGCGCCCCGACTTGTTGAGCCCCACCCCCGCTTGCGCTCCACCCTCGCCTTGACCTTGCCGGGTTTAGGGTTTCCTTGCTTTCTGATCGTGCCCATACATATATATATATATATTATATTATTCTTGTTGACAGTGGCGCAGGGACAAGCACTTTGGGATTTAGGGTTTAGGATTCAAAAAGTCTTAGAATTACACGCCAACCGAATGCCGTTCAGAAGTCAAGAGATCTTCAGGCACGAGGTGTGCGCACATCGGGCACGCAAAAGCGAGAGCTGAGGTCTTGTTTCTTTCTTGGGCTGATGCACGGTGCTTTTCAAGGACGTCTGATATGAAGCAAGCTCCCCACGGGGCAGGAATTCAGATCTGGCTACGCTGCGCCCGCTAAAGTCTAGGCCATTCCACCGGAAAACTCCTGACGCATAGTGGTAGCAAGACTGGTAGTACAAGCAATTGTCGGAATAATCGGAACATACAGCACTCACAGTAATCATAGTGACCATAGCAATAGACATAATAGTTCGCAATATTGTGACCAGTATTATGAATCGTCATATTCAAAAACCGCCTCGTGAGAAAAAAATGACTTCACTAGTGATGACAACTAACCATGAAAAACAATTGTAAATGAAGAAAAACAATAGCCATACTAGCTTTAATGCAACTCGTCGCAGTACTCACACGAGGCCCAGCGCAGGCCTGTAGTGCCCTTGTCTCGGAGATGTCGCCGACGGCACTGACGCCACTTGTATAGTCGGCAAAGCGCGGGTGCTTCATTGCCTGGTTCTCAGGTTTAGGGTTTGGGGTTTAGGGTTTAGGGTTTAGGATTAATTGTTAATTTCCAGTACGTCCGGGTCGGGATCAGATTAGAATAGGGTTTTGGGGGGTTATGATAGATTTTTACACAAAGCGACCATAAGGGAATACTACTGGTAATTATTCCGACCCCTTTGTTACGTGAGGCGGCGACAGCGGCGACAACCAAGGAGCGGACCGAAGCGCTTGACTTCTAGGGTTTAGGGTTTAGGGTTTCGGGTTTCGGGTTTAGGGTTTGGGGTTCAGGGTTGGAATCTTCACCCTTATACGAACATTCCTCCATAGGGATTGTAGTACCCCCGATTTATAATCCCTATTAAGGGCTGTTAGTATCAGGGGGAACATCCCGAGGTTGCGCCAAACGCAAATCTATGTTCGGCGGCAAGCAAGAGCAATCTGCAAGCTACGAAGCAGAGTCCGATTTTCGGGTTCAGGCTTCAGGGCTTAGGAGTTTTGGGGGTTAGGGTTCAGGGTTCAGGGTTTAGGGCTTAGAGTTTAGGGTTTGGGGTTTGGGGTTTAGGGTTAGGGGGGGGGGGGGGGGGGGGGAGACCGAGGTTTTCAGAAGTTCTTCGAATGCCGTCCCCACCTCTGACGCCCACTCGCCAAACCAAGCTTCGATGATTCGGGCCTGTACTGGCTGTGTTTTCGTAAAGAGAGAGAGAGAGAGAGAGAGAGAGAGAGAGAGAGAAAAAAAAGAGAGAGAGAGAGAGAAAAAGAGAGAGAGAGAGAGAAAAAGGGTCTAGGGTTGAGGGTTTTAAGGTTTAGGGTTTAGGGCTCAGGGTTTACTGCTCGAGTTGTTGGGGCCCTTGGAACCAAGCGTGCCTGGCATCGGCAAACCCGAGCCAAGCCATACACCCGCTTCAAAACCAAAGTCCTGCAAAGACAGGGTCACCGTTTTCAGAGCCCCCTGCCTGATTGTAGAGCATGTCGCCCCGCTCGTGGTGAAGCGTTCCGTGATGCCTGGGTGTTTTAGGGCCCGAGACTCAGCACCCCATTCTGGCGTAAATGCACGGTAGCATATTCCTTGTAGTTTCGGATGCCCAAAAACCACAGATATTGTTTGGATATGCCACCATTTCGGCTCTTGAGTTGCAAGCTTGGAGCGTCTGGTTCAGAGCTGGGTTACATTTATACCTGGCCCTGGAAAAGGAATCTAACCTGCAAGTGCCTCAAGTTTCGCATCAGGGGTTAGGGCTTAGGGTCTACAGGGCTCAGGGGGTAGGGCGCGGGGTTCCAAGAAGTGAGGTTCGGCGATGGCAAGTGATTGCCTGCACGCCTCTTCTGACACCAAGACACAGGCTCAAGCACGTGGAGACACCTGCAGAGAGTCCGGAAAATCCTAAACCCTAAACCCTAAACCCTAAACCCTAAACCCTAAACCCTAAACCCTAAACCCTAAACCCTAAACCCTAAACCCTAAACCAAACTCTGAAGCCTCAACCCATGAGTGGGACCAGGCGCGAATGGCAGAAGCCGACAACGCTGTCGTTCAAGGGCAAGAACTTGCCGCCACACAGGTGGACTCTCAAGGAGAGCCTGGAGAGAGTGCCGTGCTTAAGATGGGTTTCGGGTACCAAACAGTCCTAAACCCTAAACCCTAAACCCTAAACCCTAAACCCTAAACCCAGGAGCCTATCAATTTGGATCCATGTTGATATGGTGGCTTGGACTCGACAGGGCGATGGGCTTCCAGGGACTTAGGTCGGAAGCATCCAGGGCACCTAGTGACCCTCGTGGCCCAACACAAAGGAAACGTTCAGGGTTTGGGGCTTAAAGGTTTAGGGTTTAGAGGTTTAGAGGTTTAGAGGTTTGGAGGTTTGGAGGTTTGGGGGTTTAGAGGTTCAGAGGTTTAGAGGTTTAGAGGTTTAGAGGTTTAGAGGTTTAAGAGGTTTAGAGGCTTAGAGGCTTAGAGGCTTAGAGGTTTAGAGGTTTAGAGGTTCAGAGGTTCAGAGGTTCAGAGGTTTAGAGGTTTAGAGGTTTAGAGGTTTAGAGGTTTAGAGGTTTAGAGGTTTAGAGGTTTAGAGGTTTGGAGGTTTGGAGGTTTGGAGGTTTAGAGGTTTAGAGGTTTAGGGCTGAGGGAAAAGCACTCTGCTGGCAAGGGGCTCGATGTTCTCCAAGAGAAGGGTGGAAGAGCCTCATGCTCGTCACGCCAAAACACAACTCGGAGCGACGGATTGGGTGTCCCTTCCTTGCATAAGTTATAGGGTTTAGGGTTCCATTTCTTAACGTGGTCCCTTGCCTTCTTGAAACTGTTCTGAAGCATGGGCCATGGGCTTTAACAGTGTTTATAAGTGCTGTCCCGCTTAAGGGCCCCATGTTAAGGGGCCATGCTATAGAACCTGTTCAAGGGCTTATGTAGCGGAATTTAAGGTACCTATTTCATTCCCTACTCAGAACCAGTATACGGCTTAGGGCCCCTCTTGTTACAATCTACAGCGCTTCCCCTTTTTCAACGACGACCACACTGTCCCAACCTAAGCAACGGACATGTGAGAGCAAGCAAGGACCCCAAACCTGTTTTCTGAAACCCTAACCCCTAAATCAAGTACATGAGCAAGCTACGGAGTCCAACCTCACATCGCAAAAAGCCAAGAAGAAGCCCCAAAACAAAAAAAAAAAAAAAAAACAGAAGAACCGCGGCCCTCTAAAACCGAAACCCTCGGCCCTGAGGCCCTAAGCCCTATGCTGGCTCTTGATAAACAAATGAGCCAAGTAGGCACCTTGTGTCCCCTATATAAACCCTTGAGGGATTCCCTACCAAGAGCCAGAAGGTAGGGGACTGAGGATCTAGGATGTGAGAAGCAAACAGGAGGCCAAAAACAGGCTTCAAGGAGATCCTCAGCTTGCCCTGAGGAACATACTCCCCTTAGCGGCCGCCCCTTAGAACCATCATATAAGCACACGCTTAGGCACCCCTTTGGGATTTTCATGTCTAGGGTTGGTGGAGGGTTCCAGCTTCTTCCTCAGGAGACCCGCATGTCTTAATACCAGCTGCGGGGGCTCAGGGTTTGCGGATGTAGGTGGCATGATGGGAAAGCTCAAATCCAGAAATGCCCCAGTCTGTGCGTTCTGGGACTTCAAGGCCTAGAGTTTACGCAGGCGTTCCATTTCTGCCCTGGGCCACCTTGACCCTAAACCCTGAGCCCTAAACCCTAAACCCTAAACCCGAAACCCTTTTCGGAGCTGGGGCTGGATTTCTTTGGTCATCCTTTCTCGGATTGGGCACCCTTTACCATGAAAGAAGCTACGGCAGCTAAGATACCCAACTAGGATGGCCCTTACAACCCTCTGAAAAAGATTCTTGAATATGAGCCTCTTTAACCCAATAAGGGAAAGTTTAAAATGTCCCGAGGGCCTACATAGTACGAGTAAGATACCCAACAAAGCAAGAGCTTTCCCCTTTTCAGTTTCCTCACCCTAGCGTCCAAGCATTAACGCGGCCTTCATTCCAGGAGAAAACCGGAAGAACGGAAACCTTTCTTGGCGACCCTTATACGGGACATTAGTTAGGGGTTATTTGGGGGTTCTTTAGGGGCTACTTAAGTACATAGGGACTATATAAGGTATATACCGGGGTTATATAGGGGAATATGATTAAGGCTTCTAGGGGTCCCTCCTTTACCCCTTAAGACCAAGACCCGCAAATCCTTGAGCCCTAAACCTTGAGATCCTGGTCCTATACTTGGAGGTTCATGGTACTTATTAACCAACTATGACTGTACTTATAACCCAGCTTATAAGCCCTCATATGGTTGTAAGTACAGTTATCAGTACACTTTCTAGCTTTCATTGGTTAATAAGTACCATGACCCTCCAAGTAGTGCCTCCCCAGGCCTCGCATAAGCCGATCGTAGCCTCCGAGCTCCTGCCAGGGCCCCCTCCTTTAGGGACTTGGCTTCTACTTCCCTCATCAGAACAGGTAGGGTTTGGGCTTTGACTTTGGGCTTCGGGCTTCAGGCTTCGGGCTTCGGGCTTTGGGCTTTAGGCTTTAGGCTTTCGGCGTTAGGCTTTAGGCTTTAGGGTTTAGTGCTTTCCCTTCTTAGGGTTCAGGGTTTAGGAGCCAATACCCATGCCTGCCACCACTGTGAGCCAAAGACGAGGACGTTGCCCTGGTCCACAGGGAAGGGCCACGACACGTACCTAAGCGCCACCCGGCGGAGCATGCGTAAAAAACAACCAGCGGCACCGCAAGATATTAACATGATAAAGATGTTCTATATATATATGTATACATATGTCTACATACGCGTACATGTACATACTTATTGTGTATGTTAGAAGTGTATGTATATATATTTATATATATCTATCTATCTAATCTACATACTTATTTCTTTATATTTACTTTTTTGTAAAATGAACACCGCAGCAACCCGTCGACTGGGCAAACCAAGCTCCAAAAAAAAACGAACAAACCCTCCCTTGAACCCCCAGCTCGTGAACTAGCAAAGTCCTCACCTGAACGCTGGCATTTAGGGTTTTTTTCGGGGGTTAGGGGTTTAGTGCTAAGGGGGTTTAAGCTAAGGGTTTAGGGGTTTAGGTTGGGATGTTCCCCCTTTTCACAATCCTCGATAGGGATTATAGTACTCCCTAGTAAAATCCCTACTAAGGATTGTCAGTATAAGGGGGAACATCCCGAGCCAGAGCATTAGCCGTAGAAGAAGAAGCTTGGTCAGGCTGGGTCAGGTACCTAAACCCTTTCCAACCTTACCTCAACCCTTTTTCCTAAACCCTAAACCCTAAACCCTAAACCCTAAATTTCAAACCCCAAGCTCCTTATTCTCAGAGGCCATGCGACTCAGGGTCGAAATAGAGCTGCACCGTCTCGGCCTTCCGGGGTTGTAGGGTGCAAAGGCCCAGGAAACGATTTCGATTTGGGGTTTAGGATTTAGGGTTTAGGGTTTAGGGTTTAGGGTTTGGGGTTTGGGGTTTGGGGCTTGGGGCTTGGGGCTTGGGGCTTGGGGTTCGGGACTGGATGGGGGCTTCAGGTGCTTAGGATTTGCGGTTTAGGGTTTAGAAAACAGGGTTGCAAGCTCTTTGGGGGTTGGGGACGGGGCGTGGGGGAGGGAGCTTGCCTACCCCTGTCTGAACCCTTTAAAGCGATCCTGTAAGGTACCGAACTCCCTCAATTCCCTGCGAAGAGCCCGCAGGTTAAGCAATTTCGAGCTGTGGTCATCACCTGAATTACGAATTGCTTAAGAACCCCCCCCAAAAAAAAAAAACACATTCTTCCTTATAAAGGAAATATAGGGTTTTCTTGTTTTTTCTTTGTGGGGGGGGGGCTTAAGCACATAGTAGCGAAGCGGCCTCCCAGGTGAAGATGTTGTCGAAGTGCGAGTTCGGCCCCTTGATCTCCCAGTCTTCGCCCTCCGAATGCGGGCTTTTTGTGCGCTCGCGCAGGGCGTAGGGTTTAGGGTTTAGGGTTTCGGGTTTAGGGGTTATAGGGGTTAGGGGTTCGGGGTTTAGGGTGCTTGGGGCTTAGGGTCTGTTCGTGCCTTCAGCGGTTCTGAGCTTGCATATGTAAGTAGCAAATGGCTTGAGGAGTTGAGGGTTCAGACGTCCGCAGACGCTTAGGGTTTTGTGTCTGGAGTTTAGGGTTTCGGCTCTCACACTCGCACAAGGCAGGCAAGGATTCGGTCGGAAGGCCCACATACTACGTCAGCCATCGAGATTCCCATCTCCCAGGACAAAGAAGAGCTAATAGAGGGTTTAGGGTCTAGGGTTTAGGGCTGAGCGCTCGGGAGTAAACCCTAGACTCCGAAACCCCAACTGCCGAAGGCGGGACCTCCGCATGCCCCGAGGGGGAACGATGAGACCAACGCACAGATCCCTCCAGTTATGGGCCTCTTCTCACAAAACAGTGTTTAGGTTTTTTGGGGTTTAGGGTTTAGGGTTTAGGGTTTAGGGTTTAGGGATGTCCTTATCCCCATACCCCCAAAGGTATACTAAAGGGAGCCCCAGCTATGCGTTAAGGTACCCAAAGACCATGGGTTTAGGGCTTGTGTTGCTTCTAGGGCAGAAGGTGATTCAGAGGTTTCCGACACTAGGGGTACCTTTTTGGGGGTCCTTATTTATAAGCGAATCCTGCTATTTGGGGTTCCCTTACTTTCGTAAACTCCCATGTTGAAAACTCCCCACCCGCCCCCCAAGTGCAGAACGGAGTGTCGAGATCTCGCAATGCCGGCAGCACCACCTGGGTGTGTTGAGGGTTTAGGGTTTAGGGTTTAGGGTTTAGGGTTTAGGGTTTAGGGTTTAGGGTTTCGGGTTTAGGGTATAGGGGGGGGAGCTATCTTGTAGGCCCCTTTTTGTTGGGGTGCCCTAAGATTTTCGACTTAGTGCCCTCACTGGGAATGCTCAACTAGGCTGCCCAGTAACCTAGGGTCAAAAAGGGTGCCCTTTTTTGCTGGGATTTATAAGGGAACCTAAACCCCCCCAAAAGGGGAATAAGGGTACTACTGGGCATCCTAGCCAATGCCCCCCCAAACCCCCAAGGCCGAGAGGCGGAGCGCGGGCTCTGGCGGATGGCCTCCAGCGCGGACGAAGCCCAGCCAGGAAGGGGCTTGACGTAGCAGTCGAAAAAGGCCTCGGTTACCACATGATTTCCTCCCAAGGAGCCCAACACACGTTAGTTCAGGAATCTATACCCTAAACCCCAAACCCTAAAAACCCCCTTTAATATGATTGACGGCATATTCCTCAATTGAGGGGTATAGGGCTCTTCGGGCTGGGGCGACATTCATGCGTCTCTGCCATACCACAGAGGCACGGCAGAACCCGGGGTTTAGGGTTTAGGGTTTGGGCATGCAAACCCGCGCCCAGCTTATGGGTTCCGTTCATGGCTTTCATGTTTTTTCCAAACCCTAAACCCTAAACCCCAATCATGTTCGAGTGCCCCTATGAGCCCAAATTCTTGCAGCCACGAGCCCTACCCTCATGCGTCGATGACCCTAAACTCTAAACCAAACCCAAAACCCTAAACCCTAATAAACCCAAAACCCTAAACCCTAAACCCTACACCCTAAACCCTAAACCCCAAACCCCAAACCCCAAACCCCAACCCTAAACCCTAAACCCCTAAAACGACCCCTTCTGGTTGCCCTAACAGAGCCACGATCGCTTCGCCGCGAGCCGCATCCCCACCCGCGGCCCGCGCAGCCGCCATACCTGCAATGGTGTTTAGGGTTTAGGGTTTAGGGATTGGGGTTTGGGGTTGGGGTTTAGGGTTTGGGGTTTGGGGTTTGGGGTTTGGGGTTTGGGGTTTAGGGTTTAGGGTTTAGGGTTTAGGGTTTAGGGTTTAGGGTTTAGGGTTTAGGGTTTAGGGTTTAGGGTTTAGGGTTTAGGGTTTAGGGTTTAGGGTTAGGTTTAGGGTTTAGGGTTTAGGGTTTAGGGTTTAGGGTTTAGGGTTTAGGGTTTAGGGTTTAGGGTTTAGGGTTTAGGGTTTAGGGTTTAGGGTTTAGTCTAAGGATCTACTTGGAGGTTCATGGTACTTATTAACAACCCACTTATAAGCCCCCTTAAGTGTCCTAATATGGCTCTCAGTACAGTTTTTAGTACAGTTATACTTGGTTAATTACCATGAACCTCCAAGTAGGGTCCAGGGATTAAGGTTTAGGGTTGAGTCTAAGGCCACTGGAGCGCTTTGGGTGTTTTCGGCGCGTGCAGGCTTTGAACGCACACTCGACGGAGGGGCTGCGCCACAAGAATGCGAATGCTGAAGCAATGAGTGGCCTTAAACGCGGCCGGGAAAGCCACCAACCCTAAGCCCTAAGCCCTAAGCCCTAAGCCCTAAACCCTAAACCCTAAACCCCAAGCCCGGAAATCTCTCACACCCTCCATCACTCCACTGCTGCTGTGAGCTCTGCCACTCGGTTTTGGGGCTTGGGGTTCCCAGCTGCCATCACAAGAGCTATTGCTCAGCCGTGTCCAGGGTTTAGGGTTTGGGTGTAGGCTTAGAAGGTAGAGGGTTTAGGGTTTAGGGTTTAGGGTTTAGGGTTTAGGGTTTAGGGTTTAGGGTTTAGGGTTTAGGGTTAGGGTTTAGGGTCGAGGGCTTACTAGTACACCGCCTCTTGCGCGCCTTGTGGGGTGTCGAAGCGATGCCACAGAAGCTGAATGGAGTCCCAGATTTGGTGGCGGTCCTGAACGAGGCTGTGGTGCTGGCCCCGCCCCATCAGAACAACGAGTCTGCCCATCTGGCGCTAGGCATCAAAACATGCAACTGTGCTGCACTTCCGAATCTCCCATTCTACCCGCAGTATAGTCGATTTCCTTTTGGGCCCTAAATCCTAATCGGCTAATTCTATACGGCTAGTTCTCTAAAATACGGTCCCTTGTTGGGGGGGTCCTTTTGTAAGGTGCCGTATTATATAGGGACCCAGAAAAGAAAACCTCAACTACAGAACTGCCCAACCCTAGCTAACTAAACCCTTTTTGCAACGGGCTTTCGGGCACCGCCCGGCTGAACCCTGTTTGAACCCGCGCTATGCAACTGCCTGAAACGGGAATGCGACTGCACCATCGCTCCACGACAGCACCAGTGCACATGAACAAGACCAAGCAGACAAAGCCCAACCCGAAACCCTGAACCCGAAAACCCGAAAACCCGAAATCCAAAACCCGAAAACCCGAAACCCGAAACCCTAAACCCTCAACCCCCTAATCCCGTTTAAACCTGATGGCTCCTCCTGCGGCCGTGGCAGCTCGAAGTTCTTCCAAGCCATACCTTTAGGGTTTAGGGTTTAGGGTTTAGGGTTTAGGGTTTTAGGGTTTTAGGGTTTAGGGTTTAGGGTTCAGGGTTCAGGGTTTAGGGTTTACCTGAGCGCAACTTCGCTGGGATGAAGCCAGGGGCTTGGGTGGTTCGGGAGTTTGTGGGTTTAGGAGTTTCGTGGTTTAGCGGGTTCAGGGGTTTAGGGTTTAGGATTTGGGGTTTAGGATTTGGGGTTTAGGGTTTAGGGTTTAGGGTTTAGGGTTTAGGGTTTAGGGTTTAGGGTTTAGGGTTTAGGGTTTAGGGTTTAGGGTTCACAAGGGGTTGAAGGGTTTGGGGAGTTTAGGGCCGCCGGGCTGTAGGACTGGCGGGGCTTCCAAGGACCGTTTAGGGTACGAAGCGTTTGCACCCTCCGCCGCGCACCACTCCCCGCGCCGGTGAGAGGAAGCACCAGGCCAACATTTCAGAAGAGTACATGCCGTGCTTCGTCTAAGTAGCTGTTAGTCATGTGTACCTGGTAATATTTAAGAAGTACTAGGCAGCTGGCAACTTAACTTGCAGGAAGTACTGACTTGCAAACTTTCAGTGGCAAGTAAGCCTAAACCCTAAACCCTAAACCCTAAACCCTAAACCACTAGTCGTAACAGCCACTAGCAACAGGGCCTGCGCGGCTTCGGGCCTCAAGCTCCGACTCAAACCCCCTGAGCTGCAAACTAAACCCTCAACCCTAAACCCTAAACCCTAAACCCTCAACCCTAAACCCTAAACCCTAAACCCTAAACCCTAAACCCTCAACCCTAAACCCTCAACCCTAAACCCTAAACCCTCTTGAACCTGGGGGCTGCTTCCCGCCAGAGCTGCAAAGCCTTTGAGCCCTAAACCTTCAACCCTAAACCCCTTGAACCCTAAACCCTTTGAACCCTGGACCCTAAACCCTAACCCTATAAACCCTAAACCCTTTGAACAATAAGCCCTCAGCTCTAAGCCCTAAAGCCCATCTTCGAAGTCTTCTGGGCCACGTTCGGCCACAGATCACCGGGTCTTGAAACCCACCCCAAAGATTGAGCAAGATCTCAGGGAGCCCCAAACCCCGTACTTCAGGAGTAATTAGACCGTAAAATCACATTCAGGACCCCGACAATTTTTGCAGTCGATTCCTTACTTAGAACGGCTATTTAAATTTGGGCTCTTAGGATCCCTTTGAAACCCCTGAAACCATCCCAGCTGCCGGTGAACTCGGGCTTTGGCACGGCTGGATCCGTCCCGTCCTCCACAACTTCTGTCGCCAGACGAAGACAAGCATTGCATGCATGCATGCATGCATGCATACATACATACATACATATGTATATATATATATATATTGTGTGTATATATCGAAAATAAGGGACCCCTAATATAGACCCCCGAGAAGTAGGTTAGTAGGATTCCCTTGCAACAAGGACCCCAACAAGGTATCCCTATTTTCGGAAACTTCCTAAATAAAAATGCATACACATATGTACGTAGATATGCCCTTCATTCCGCCTTATGTCGGAGACAGGGATGCCGAACCATAACCCCTCAGTCACTCGCACTGCATGGGGCAAGCATGCTGCGTCATTGAGGACATGCTGCGCCATGTCCTCAATGACGAGTATCTCGATAAGCACGTCGCCGGAGGACTCCATTAGGTCCTACATGGGGCACTTCTAGCCAGACTCAGGATTGGGGCGTCCTCTTAGGCTGCAGGATTTGGACTCACGGCAGGGTTTAGGATTGAGGGTTGAGGGCTTGGGGTTGGGGTGCTTTAGGCCATGGGTTGTAGGCATGAACGCACACGGCCGTAGAGAATGTTGGCATTTCTCTACACAAAGAAGCCCAATACCCCACTATTAAGCTATTATATACCCCAATTTTCAATTCGAACCCTTGTACAGTTAAGACCAAAACAGAGGGCTACGGCACTCTCTTTGTAGATGCTTCCAGAAGCCCACACCAGCTGCACCAGCCAGCAGAGCTGTGCGCCCGACCCATACTGGTTTTCACGGAGCCCGCGAATCAAGCAGCTCTACGTCCCCTACATGACACACAAACCGTTTCAACTAAGAACCAGCAGGTCATAGACAGGACTGAGTATTGGGGGGCCATTGCGGGTTTGGCTATTTAGGGACTACAACGGGAACATAGTGGTCATTCTGTATGCTAAACCCTGAACCGTTAACTTGGACCCTTTCTTGAACCCAGACTCAGAGCCTACAGCTAAACCCTAGACCCTGACGAATTTCGGCTCCTGTGTCTTGCTACAGGGGTTGGAATAATTACTAATAGTCTTCCCTTATGGCCCCTTTATAATTGTACTATAATAACCCCCGAAACTCTATTCTAATTACTAAGGCATATTAGACACTGAAGCAAGGAAAGCAGGGCCTCCACACTCCGCGCGAGCAAGGCCCCAGCATTGCCACAGGGATTCGGAGCGAGGCGTCCCCCAGGCAGCGCGAAGACCTCGTCTCAAACCCCTAAACCCTAAACCCTAAACCCCGAACCCTAAACCCCAAACCCTAAACTCCGAACCCTAAACCCTAAACCCTAAACCCTAAACTCCGAACCCTCAACCCTAGAAGCATCCCAAGGGCTTGGGGCCTAAGGATTGCAGCCCTCGGGGCTGTTCGGATATTACAACCCCAAAAACTGTCATAGGGTTTAGGGCTTAGGGTTTAGGTTTTATGGAGTTTAGGGTTTAGGGTTTAGGGTGTAGGGTTTAGGGCGGCCCAGGGCTTAGGGCCAAGAGCTGTCCTGAACTGGCTTAACCCGGGCCACGGCAATCTCCGAACTCGCAACACTTTAAGGGATACACCCCCAGACCGTTACCTACCACCCCCACATCACCCCTCTGTCGCTGTGTTTACGGGTCCCCCCCCCCAAAAAAAAAAGAAAAAAACAACCAAAAGCCCCAAACCCTGAAACCCTGAAGCCCCAAACACATACTTGAACTACTACTTGCTAAAGAGCCCCAACAAAATGAAAGACATCGTCCCTATATTGCCCTTGTGAGGAAGAATCTTGTTTTTTGTTGGGCGGGGGGGTTCTTGAGCAAATAGCAGTGAAGGGTCGCAGGTGGTCGTACATCGGGTTGTTTAGGGTTTAGGGTAGGGTCTAGGGTCTTAGGGTTTAGGGCTTAGGGTTTAGGGTTTCGGTTTAGGGTTTAGGGTTTAGGGTTTAGGGTTTAGGGTTTAGGGCTTAGGGCTTAGGGCTTAGGGCTTAGGGTTTAGGGTTTAGGGTTTAGGGTTTAGGGTTTAGGGTTTAGGGTTTAGGGTTTAGGGTTTAGGGTTTAGGGTTTAGGGTTTAGGGTTCAGCCCGGGCGCCGCGGAGAGGCCCTTGCGAGGTGGGGGGCCCGCCCGCTGGGTGCGGGTTCCCACGTCCTGCAACCACAAGAGGGTCTAGGGTTTAGGGTTTAGGGTTTAGGGCTTAGGGCTTTAGGGTTCAGGGTCTAGGGTTCAGGGTTTAGGGTTTAGGATGGGCTAGGGTTCAGGGTTTAGGGTTTAGGGTTTTAGGGTTTTAGGATTTCAGGGTTTTCGCGTGGGTTTAGGGTTTCACGGTTTTAGGGTTTTAGGGTTGTAGGGTTTCGGGTTCAGGGTTCAGGGATTCGGTTCTTTGTGGAAGCAGGCAGTTAGGCTCTTTTCAGAAATCCCCTTAAAGAGGAAGGGTAGTAGCTTCCGGAACTCTGGGGACTATGTGGGGATTTCGCCCTTGAACAATCAACACCCCCGAACCCTACTTGGGTCATGGCGCATTGTAAGTGCTACGAAGTCAAATGCATGATTTTGGTTGTCCTGCCTGGGCTTATAAACCTTGTACTTTAGAAACCCTATACTTACTAAGACCGGCGATCCTGCAAGCACACCCTAAACCCTAAACCCTAAACCGCAAACCCCAAACCCTGATTCCAGTCCGTTGGAGGAGGCCGGGTTTCCGGTCGGAGGCGGTGGGCCGTGACCAGTGCTGCCTGAACTCATCTCATATAGCAACCTAGGTAAGAAAGGCTACGTCCTCCTGCTTTCAAGGTTCATAAGAGCTCCCAAACCTCCTCACGCGAAAGAACGGTACCACGTCGGGGGGGCGGGTAAATAACAGAGCAGCAGTTTTCTGGGAGTTCTCTGAGGTTTTCCCTACTTCTCTGACCGGTTCCCCTATGAAGAACTCGCAAGATTTCTGGGTTCTGGGTGGCTTGAGACATGAGATCTGCGGCTCCATGCTCTACACCCTCGACCCCCAACCCCCAACCCCTAACCCTCAACCCTCAACCCTAAACCCTAAACCCTAAACCCTCAACCCTAAACCCTAAACCCTAAACCTTACTTGCCAACTCCAAGGCTTCTTGTAGGGAAATTGTTTAAAGCCGAATGATAGGAAGGCTGAGGCTGAAGGAGCCTGTCTGGGGTGCTGGGTTTAGGGTTCAGGGTTTCGGATTTAGGGTTTAGGGTTTAGGGTTTAGGATTTAGGGTT